TGAGATGGGGGGGCCGACGAGGAGGTCCAAGCCTATCTCTAGAGAGACCCAGGGACGAGTGTGACAACCAAAGTCATTGCAGGCCGTTGCGCAAGGAAAGGGTCTGCATAAAGCGCCATGGCGATGAAGCATGCCATCATCCACGGTAGCAGAGGCAGCTTTGATAGCCGGTACATTGTCGTTTTTGCACATTGGGGTTTCAGAGAGATTGGGACTTACACGCAAGTGTAGCATTATCAAATGGGGGCGTTTGGGAGTCTCGAGCACAAGTTCCTCACCGCCTGTTGTACGGGTCATGAAGGGCGAGGGACTGGACCCAGGGGGGATTGGGCAAAACACCACCGATATGGCCTAGGCTGTATCTCAACTTTTGCGTTTTCTTGTGTTTTTTGCTTTCGTTTAGATACCAATGATGCGTGTGAATTATCAAGCATATTCAAGGTGAAGCAGACTGGCCATATTCTTTCCAGTGTGAGATCTTGTGGAGATGAATGTAAATCTAATGAAAAAACACATATATTTTGTTTTTCATTCAACTTTAGAGCACATGTGCCACCGCCGCGACAAAAACCTCATTCTCAAACTCGCAAAAAACTGCCCTGATATCTTCTCCTCTTATCCCGAGTATACCACAACGCCGTAGCATCAAACAAACTCTTTCCGATAAAACGTTACTGTCTGTGAAACCTGTCTCAACATTTCATCTAGTCGTTTCTTCCATCTAAAGCTTTTCTAATCCCCATCTATCAAAAGTCTTAGGTGGTGATCTTGGCGACCTTTTGCCACAGGCCGTTGTGAGACCAGGTCCAGTTCTTGAGGAAGGGCGGGTCCATGCCCGTCTCGAACGCCTCGATGCGGGCGGCGATCTGCTGGTTGCGCAGCGTCTCGCGGGCGGCGGCGCCGCGGTTGTGGAGCTGTGGCATGCGGTCGATGGCGTCCATGGCGAGGCTGAAGCGGTCCGTCTGGTTGCGGATGGCGAGCTCGAGGGGCGTGTCGATGTTGCCCTTTTCCTTATAGCCGCGGACGTGGAGGTTCATGTTGCCCGGACGCTTGTAGGTGAGGCGGTGGACGAGCCAGGGGTAGGAGTGGAAGTTGAAAATGACGGGCTTGTCGTCCGTGAAGAGGGAGACCCATTCGGCGTTTGTGAGGCCGTGGGGGTGGTCTTCGTGGGAGATGAGCTTGAAGAGGTCGACGCAGTTGACGCAGCGGATCTTGAGCTCGGGGAAGTGTTGCAGCAGGAGGTCGATGGCGGCGAGGGACTCGTGGGTGGAGATGTCGCCGCACGAGGCCATGACGAGGTCGGGCTCCTCGCCCTGGTCGGTGCTGAACTGGGGCCAGATGCCGATGCCCTTTGTGCAGTGCTCGACGGCCTTCTCCATGGTGAGGTACTGCAGGTGCTCCTGCTTGTCGGCGACGATGACGTTGACGTAGTTTGAGGAGGCGAGGCAGTGGTCCATTGTAGAGAGGAGGCAGTTACCGTCGGGCGGGAGGTAGATGCGGACGACCTCGGGGCTCTTGTTGGCGACGACGTCGAGGAAGCCCGGGTCCTGGTGCGTGAAGCCGTTGTGGTCCTGGCGCCAGACGACGGCGGTGAGGAGGATGTTGAGGGAGGCGATCTTGTTGCGCCACTCGACTTCGAGGGCCTTTTCGATCCACTTGCAGTGCTGGTTGACCATGGAGTCGATGACGTGGACTGCACGATTTGTTAGCATCATGTTTGTTCAATACGTGAGAGAGAGGTGAACTTACTGAATGGCTCGTAGCTGTTGAGGAGACCGTGACGTCCGGTCAGGATGTAACCCTCGAGCCAACCCTCACAGGTGTGCTCGGAAAGCATCTCCATGACACGTCCCTCGGGGGCCAGGTTGCCGCCGTTGGCATCCTCTTCAAAGTACTCGCCCATCCAGACCTTCTTGCCGGCCTCGTAGACGGCACCAAGCTTGTTGGACTCGGTCTCGTCGGGTCCGAACAGACGGAAGCTCTGCATATTCTGGGCCATGACATCTCGAAGGTAGGTAGCCATGTTGTTCATGCTGGCAGCCATGGTGCCGCCAGACTTGTCAACCTTGATAGCGTACTCCTTGAAGTCGGGAAGCTTGAGAGGCTTCCTAAGAACGCCACCGTTAGCCACGGGGTTGGCACTCATGCGGCGATTACCGGTAGGGCAGAGGGACTTGAGCTCATCCGAGATACGGCCGTCCTTGAAGAGACGCTCGGGCTCGTAGCTGCGCATCCACTGCTCGAGGAGCTTCATGTGCTCGGGGTTGGTGGCGGCGTTGGGGATGGGGACTTGGTGGGCTCTCCAGTAGCCCTCCAAGTAGTTGTCGTCAATCTTGCGGGGGCCAGTCCAGCCCTTGGGACTGCGAAGGACAATCAAGGGCCAGATGGGGCGGAAGGCCTTGCCGGAGTCGCGGGCCTGCTTCTGGAACTTGCGGATCTCGAGGACGCAGTGTTCCAGAGTGGCGGCCATGGCCTGGTGCATGGTATCGACATCGTCGCCCTCGACAAAGTACGGCTGCCAACCGTAGCCGAGGAAGAGGTTCTCCAGCTCCTTGTGGGAGATTCTGGCCAGGATCGTGGGGTTGTTGATCTTGTAACCGTTCAGGTGCAGGACAGGCAATACGGCGCCATCCACAATGGGGTTGAGGAACTTGGTGCTGTGCCATGCAGTTGCCAGCGGGCCAGTCTCGGCCTCACCATCGCCGACCATGGTCAGGGCAATGAGATCGGGGTGGTCGTAGACGGCACCGAACGCATGCGAGACGGAGTAGCCAAGCTCTCCACCCTCGTGGATGGAGCCCGGGGTCTCCGGGGTAGCGTGGGAACCGATGCCACCGGGGAAGGAGAAGGACTTGAAGAACTTCTGCATGCCTTCAACGTCTTCCGACTTCTCTGGGTAGACCTCGGAGTAGACACCCTCGAGGTACGACTGGGAGAGCACGGCGGGGGCTCCATGGCCCGGGCCGGAGATGAAGATGGAGTCGAGGTCGTACTTCTTGATAAGACGGTTGAAGTGCATCCAGGTAAAGATTTGACCCGGAGCTGATCCGAAGTGACCGAGTAACCTCAGCTTCATGTGCTCCTTCTTGAGGGGCTCCCTGAGAAGGGGGTTCTCTTTGAGGAAGATCATTCCCAAAGACAGGTACAAGCTGGCCTTGAAGAAGTCATTGTACTTTACAATGTCCTCCTTGGAGAGGGGCTCGCCCTTTACTGTTGACCGGGCTGGGCCATAGGGGCTGATGGACTCGACCTCCTTGTCGGCCATGTTGATGGTGACGGGAGGTAGGTACGTAAGGGTTGGTGATGTTTATCGTAGGTGTGTTCAGGCCAAGATGCCTTGAAAGGGGTGGTTTAGAAAAGGAAAGGCAAGAGTTGACTGAAGTCCGAGAGGGCTTGGTCTTTATACCTACTAGTCAGGCCGGAAGAGGTCAGAGGAGAGACAGAGAGAGAGCAAGATATGCTGCGGTCATTTCGCCCAGAGGTCGGGCGGCAGGCGGGTAGCTCTGCCCAGGCTGGAGTTTGATGCTCACGTCTATGGTGCTGATCCCCGGTTGGAGGCCGGCGGGCATCGACTGAGTAGCGTAAACGCAGGTCCGGGAGCTATCAGCCGATATTGACGGCTACCAACCTGGGTTGGAGGCGAAGGTTGCGAACGTTGAGAGAACAAGGGCATACAAGCAGGGGTGGGGTATACGAAGATACGGAACGGAACCTGGTGGCACATAACACGTTCCTTGATGGGGCTCCAGGTGAAGCATCTTTTTGGGACTTTTAGCCTGGGGAGTTGGAGAAGTGGTAACCCCAGGTGCGGGACTCTCATTCATTCCACAATGAAAGGCTCCAATGGGCTGGCAACGTGGGGGGGAAGAGGAGAAGAGAAAGAGATGTCGGGTGTCATGGCATCCTGGCAACGTGGACTTCTGGCGTGGGTTGCCGTTAGTGGCATATGGCGAAGTCTCCTTCTGGGCGGTCCGGAAGCTGCCTATGACAGGGTGACGGGACGAAAACTAAGACGGCGGCTGCAGATGAGCTGAGGAATTGCGGGTTTTCCTTGCATGTTCTTTTGGCGACGAGAGGTTGATCGGTGGGTGGTGCTGGTGATTGTGCGTGGGGAGAAGAGGTGGTCTGATTTTCTGAACGCAACTCAACTGCGGTCATGGCACCAGGCGACATGTAGCCGACGTCACCTTACGCCCCACGTCGGTATCGATTGTGCCTGTCCGCGTCATAGTGCTTAATTTGCCCTGTCAGTCCGTTTTCAGGAGATTGGGGAAGGATGTTCAGGATTCAATGGCTTTTTGGGTCAGGAACGCTTGCACCTTGGTGGTCGAGAGGTCTCAGTCAGCGGAGGAAGTACGGAGAAAAACTGCTGCTCAGATTTCAGAGTCGGGGCAGCAGCGGGCCGAGCAGAATCGCCGCTTCGGGACATGGTACGGTACCTTCAAGGTACGTATTCGGCACCGTCGGCAGCTGCCGTTTGCCGGCCCGGGCTACGTATCTACGGTGTCCATGGCGAGCCAAGGTGAAGACGGTGACTAGCAAGGTGAGGAAGGTGCTGATGCACACATCTTCATTCCAATTTGCAACGTAACGCCTGCAACTACATTGGCATTATCGGCAGCTCTGCCCAGTCCGTGCTGCCGGGCCAATCTCTGTTACACCAACACGATTCTGACCCAATCCAACCCATCCATGCCTGCATCAAAAAGCCTCAATCACCTTTTGGCTAGGTGGTCTCACTACCCGATCTTCGGGAATGAGATAGTCAACTCCCAGGACAACGGCTAATCGCCAGATACGATCCCCTTCTTGGCGTGGCGTCAACCGAAATGGCACACCCAAAGTATCTCCCTACCATCACGGGACAGTGGCATCCTTCCATCGAGAAAACAGCAGAATCCGTTCTACCTCGCCTCCAGAGAAAGCCAACAGAGCCTCCATCCCGGGTTAGGCATGCTTTACGGCACCACCGTTTCGGACCGTTTACTCGTATCAACGCCCTATCGCAACCAGTGCCGGTGCCCCCGTGCAACCGGCTTAGAACGACCAGCCTTTTCTCTCGATTCGCTTGTCTGGTCGACCAGTTCACTGATGGCCCGATCATTAGCTGCACCAACGGCGTTGGTAATGACAATACTGTCCCGGAGGAGCCAGACGAATATCGAAACAAGGACGTCGTCAGTTAGCCGGCAAGGGGTATGAATGACAGGCCCGGCGAGCCTAGCAGTGAACCCGGACGCCTTCTGCCCTTGGCCAATCTAGCTAGGCATGCAGCAAATATCCCGCCATTGCAGAGAGGTGCCTTGGTACTTGGCCTTCTTCTGCAGGCAACTGGGCAGGCTGTGCCGAATTGCATCAGACTACCTTAGTCGTGTAAGCCTGGCATAAGGCACGAACTAGACGAAAAAACAACTGACGGTGCGGAACCCGGCCGGCTCCTCGCCCAGATCCAGAAGCAGCTGATTCATGGCGAGTCTGGATCATGGCATATGCACGCAGATCATGGCACCGCTCATCCACGACTTGCCTTACGTGCCACAATAAGCCTGGCAACCCCGGTTCACTGGGGGGCCTGACACACCCCGCCAAGTGTCAATCCTGCAGACATCACCCCACCACCTTTCACGGCGGGAGCTAGGACCCCAGCCCCGAGAAGACGAGGACAAAGTGGAGGGGAGCTGGAGCTTGAGCTCGGTGCTCGTCCTTGGTGCCACTTCCGCAGAAACAACGCGCTGTCTTGAATCGCCATTTATATTGTTTTTCTGGGAATTTCTCGCCCAGGTCATTTTTCTCTTCAGCATCAGCGTTTCTTCTGCCTACAACAAGTATCTTGCCCCCCAGAGGACACGCCATCCGCTGAATGACGATTGACATTCAGTGTCTTGCGTCTTGAGAGACTCCGAGCAATTGCAGCGGCAACCGGCAAGTCAGCTAGTGATGAGACCTCGCCCATGGAGGGGTAGCCTCTTGGCGAAACCCTGCCAGATGAGGGGAAAGCCCAAAATGTGCGCTTGAAGGAATGTTCACGGAATGCCGTTGGGTTCCAAGTCATCCGGTGTTCCGCATTGGGTCAGGACTTATGCCAACCAACAACGCCGGCGATCTGCTTGAGACGACGACATGGGAACGCAACGACATACGCTTATCAATATGATAAAATGTTCCATCCCGCGGGTGTTGAATAGGCTCGTCTTTCAGCGGGTACAGCCTTCCTCGCTATGCACCGTATTCACCTTGTTTTGTGTGACAGCACTCGGCAAAGCCAAGCGTCTATTGGACTAGACACGGGATTTAAATGTGACATTGCATCCATGGTCTCAAGGCTCTGCAAGTCGAACAATCCGGGGATCTGGCAGACGTTCAAAGACAAGACATCTGCGACAATTTTATCACCATAAAACGCTAACCTCCTTGACCCGGAGAGTGGATTCCCACCTGTCATCTGAATCGTCCCGACTTATTCTGAGTTAGGTATGCATTGTCTCATTGCCTCGACGTTTGCGCAACCTTGAGAGATTTCACGCATTTCTTCTTCACCGCAATCTCGGACTAGAAACAGGTTTCGGCTTTCCTTGGATGTCGATGAGCGGGACCCCTCGCGAGAAGCTGTTCAGCGAGGTGGATGGTGGGGTTTTCACATTCTCATGTCCTGATCTGATAATTTATGGGTACGGGGAGTCTGACAGCTGCTCTCCACGCTGTGCCGCAGGTACTTCGTATGCGGGTCAAAAGCCAGGTCCTCCGAGCCGACCGGGGGCTGCTGTCCTGCGGCTGCGGCGGGGTTGGTGGGGGATCAGCCGCCGACACGCGGGAACTAACCGTTTACCAGCAGCACTCAGGGGCAGTAGGCACTTGCAAAGAGCTTTGGTTCAGCTGCCTAGGAGTTTGCGCCGATGTGGCTTTGCTCTGGGCGCAGAGTCACTGCTATCGTGCCTACTCGCAAGTCAGGATGTCCACATCTAAGTATGATTAGTTGCTCCTTTCTCGACATGGGCACGCATTATTTGTAGGAGATACTGACCGCAGTGAAGGCAAACTATCATACGGATGACGATTTTTTAGCCATGATTAGCCATAGAAGTTGGAGTTTATAAAACGTGGCCTTGATCCTCGTCACTTACGTCCCATCTCAATGACCATTGACTTACGATGACATCCAATCCCGGACCCCATTCTGGTCTGATATCAAACTGACAGCACGAAGATAATGTCCCCATGCGAGATTGCGACCCTTAAAACAAAAAGTCATTGTTCCATAATGCGAGACCCCCAACTGTAGACTTTTATTCACTTCCGGTGGACGACGAGTTGCAAGTCCATCCCCCGCACCGACGGACTGAACTCTCTCGATGACCACTTCACTCCCTTTGCCATATGCCCCATTTACCCGAAAGGGTTGCGAGACCGCGTAAACTCATTTAATTGACTTATCTCACGAACCGTCCGAGCGGAACGCCCGTGACCACCTTCATAGTAGAGAACAGCCAAGTGAAGGGGAGAGTCGACACACTTGGACATCACGGTGGCCTGACGTCACGCCGTCCCCCCCGCGTTCTATGGTCCCCAATAGTTTGGTTCAGACAGAAAAGAAAAGGTAAAGAGAGGGGAAGCATAGAAGTTATTTGTGTATATACTCTGCTCCGTCCGCTCTCAAATTGCGACCAATGGTGAAAACTTTCTTCCACCCTCTTCCTTGACTGACTATCATAAACCGCCTCGTGAGTGATTCTCTTACGTCGAACATTATCATCCCATCCATAAGGAGAGTCGAATGAGCATTTCGATTGATTATACGATTGTACGCAGAAGAAAAGAAAACATTTCCACACCCTTGTAATGGCATCCTACCCAAGTCACAAACCTCAAACCCCACAGCCTCCTGCGCCTATCCCCATCAAGGACGGCGACGACGACCAGGGCGATGTGATGAGAGACTACTAAAATGGAAGAGGGCAAATTTGGGAGAGCGACAGGAAACTGGCTTCGATGGAAGTTGAATGGGCTCGGGCCGACACACGCACACAAAGCTTGGAAGAGGCAAGGAACACTGAGACTGTGATAAGGTTAAACACGAGCTGAGACGTGAGGGCAAAGGGAGGCAGGCTAGCGTTGCAACTACTGGGACTGCAAGCTTGTACGATGTTATGCAATTCGAACTACTTTCTGATTGAACCTTTGTTTTCTAAGACCCCCATCACGCGAAGAAATCACTTTGGTATGCCGGCAGTCCGCTTCACCTACTGCAGACTCCCAGCAAACCTGTCCCCATTTTCCCTCGTTGATTCTGAGCCCCTGCATATCTACTCCCTCATCCCAGCTACCCGGGTCTTCAAGCCGGTGCCGCCATTCTAGGGTTCCAGACCTCATCAGACCACGCCTCTTCCCCTCCCCCTAGCTCTCCCCACGGGGTACGAACGCCTACGGCTGCGCATCTTGACGTGATGATTGCATATAGCGGGCATGACTAGCCTCCTTTCCTGCTCGCAATACCTACCCCGCCCTATGGTCCGTCTCCTTTGGACGATCCTTCCGAGCTCACCTGGATCTCGCAGGGCAGTGTCTTAATTATCACGCCAACAAGCCACATATGATATCTAAGATATCTTGCAGGGAGAAAGATTGAAACATGTTTCTTGATCTCGCAGAAAGCCTGATAGTAATTGATAGATCTTGCGTAGTGTCTCATCTTACCCCTGGTTCCATGGATCTCGCAGTAAGCGGGACCGGTGTCAATGTTGAAGACATCAGGTGATGACTCCCCTGCATATACATCGGCTTTCTTTTTGAGGCTTACACCAATCCCAGTGTAATAGACGTCCCTTCGATGAGAAGGATAGGCTCTGAGAAAGCAGTTTCTTCTAGATCCATAGCCCAAAATTGAAATAGCTCGAGGCTTTTGCCGAGAGACCCACGCACAAACATACAATGAAGAGAACATGCCACAGGAGATTTCGGTGAATTGCTACGCATCTGAGCAAAACCCGAGTCTCCTACGCCTCACCTTCAGATTCTGAGCAATAGACGACAAAACATTTGAACCACACTCGCCCCCAAGAACACGGTCTTCACAGCCACGAGAACTATTCAGATTCAGCGAGTACAACGAGGAGAAGAAGCAAGACAGGAATGCGAACAGGGAGAAATGTAACGTCTAAATCGTTTCTATCATTAAGCAAGAGGGTATTGGCGGTGGTTTCCCAGTCAGAAATGATGATGCCTCTACCAAAGCCATGCCCGCTCGTGCCTTTATAACTCGAACCCCAATGAGCTATCTACAAGGGCCCAAGCGCGTTTTCTACACCTTTCATTTGATAAAGTCCAAAGCCAATCTCTCAGTAGGTTGATGCGAATCACCGTGTCGCCATTGCATCGTTATTTCGTGGTTCAGTCAAGCTGGAAACGTAGCTTGGATGGGCGTGTTGACAGCGGACGTGATGCCCTCTGAAAGTTCGGCGGAGTCCTCTTCACTAGAGACAATTAGTGGAAGCCTGATGATGGTTTGAGCCAGGCCCTGACTTACTTGCACTTCGTCTCCTTAATGCGCGACCCCTTTCCTCCTTTGGATTTTCATCTGCTGCGTCTGTTTCTTTGTTGTAATTTCCGAATAAGTTGAGAATGACATTCTTCGGCAGGGCGTTCTACTCCTTTAGTGACAGAATGCCTGAGCCCTGCGGCCATTTGTTCTCTACGTCAATGAGTTCGATGTCCCCATCAGCATCCCGATCCCCGTCCTTGACAGCAGAGTTAGGATTTTCTTGCTGGCGTTTGGGGACTTTGACCAAGTCGCCTTCTTTGCCATCTTCCACGTAACAGAGGTAGTAAGGATCGCCGTTGCTGTTGAGAGTCTTCATGACTTCCTTCGTGTCGGCGTTTTCTGTGACGACCCTGTCATTGTATTTGCGCCACACTCCAGCCTCAAAATCGTGGATCCAGACCCAATAATGACCAGCTCTGAGCTGACCACTGTGGCAGATCACTGCATGCAAACGATACGCATGCTTCTTGTGTTGTGCGAATAGCTGATCAAGCTCCGCTTTGTGGGACTTCAGTTCATCCTCGCGCATGTTGCTGATCTGCTGGCGTCCTTCCACCGTGAAGCCTGTAGGCTCAGGCGGTTCCACTTTTTCAAATGTCTCATCCGACTGTGGAGGGTAGATAGGGAATGTCAGCTCTTGCCCCGCAAAGCTAAGGGACGACGTAGGCATGTCGTTGAGAAGCGACGATGTCTCCTCAGCATCAGTCTTGTCAACGTGTACAAAGTCACTGATGAAACTGTCGATGAGTTGAGTATCCTCGACCGCAGTCTTGGGCATGTTGTTCAGCTGGTCTAAGCGCTGTTGAAGAGCCCAGCCTTTCTGCCGCAACTTGAAGAACTGAGGGTCGTCCGGGGTGTCCATATACCGGTCGAGATACAATGTCTCGAATACCTCAACCGGGTTCATGTTCTTGTGGCCATCACCTTTCGTTCTCTGGATAAGGACATGTAAGATCGGAGGAAGCTTCTTGATCGACGTGTATCGCATGATATCTGCTTCTCCGGCAGCGACACGTTGGAGATCAAAATTGCGACTAAGGCCGTCATGAATGTTCGTCGGCCCACCTTCAGCAGGATATGCCGTGATGGCACGCTCCAGAGTTGAGTCTGATTTGTACTTGTCCTGATTAGGGAACTTCGTGTGGTTGGTCAACTCAACATAGAACGTGTCCATGATCGGCTCCCACTGGACCTCATCGGTGGTATCTACCCTTGTAGGCTTAATGGCAGCCTGCAGACGGTTGATGATGCTGCCCATGACCTCTTCAACGTCTTGTTGATCGGTGCCTGAGTCTCGGGTCTGTGTTTCCAAGGCCTTGAGTACTCGTTGTTCCACGTTGAGAACGGCTGTATCGAACCCCGTCATTTTGACATCGTTATCGTTCGTGGATCGGGCCGAGGACACCTCGACTGGTTGAGAAACGATTCTGATGTCGGTTTTATCCTCGGGCACGTAATCCTTCTTCTCGTGGTCAACATCGGAAAGGTTGACCAGAGTCTGCGAGCTGACGCTGCTAGCAGACTCAGAGATCGGGTCCACAGTGACGTTAACCATGTCAACGTCCTCGACGTGTTCTGCCGTATGTGTAGGAGGCCCAGGAGCAGGCCTGGCAGGGAGTGGCGGAGGGGCGGGAAACTGGGTACCCATGACTTCCAGAGTCTTCGGCTCTTCCGCAGTCTTGCTCGGTTGCTTAGCAGGATCTTCAGTCAAGTTCGAGGTCGGCAACAGCACGGCATTGGCCAGACGTTGGGATGGTCGGATCGCACTAGCCTGAGAGCCACTAAGATTGTCCAAGAGTTTGCTCAACTCATCGACGACTATGGGGTGTTAGCAATGGCTCCCCGTGCCTATCATGCTAGAAAAGTACTTACAAGCGCGGGCAACAACCGCCTCGGCACGATCGATTTTGAGCTTGTTGCCGCCGACAAGCCGGCGTTGGATATGCGAATCATCCAGGCCTAGCTCATAGTCTGGGTAATGGGCAAGCAAGTCTTTGATGGGAATGACAGTGTTGAGATACTGAAGAATGCTGTTCAAGTAGCAAGTGTTGCCGATGTTCTCGAGACCGACAGGTAAGTTGGCTGAGCTGGAAGGTCTGGCGTCCATCTCCACAGCTTGTGCGGACTGATCCGGAGCTTGAGCCAATAGAGATAAAGTTCTTGCCGCTTCGCGGATTTCGTCGCTATTCCTATCCTCGGCGATAGCTTCCATCGCCTTGATCGCGACTTCCTCTGTAGCTTTGCTTTTCGGATCCTTGTTCAGCTAGAGGGATTGTTAGCGGGATCAGATGGTCGCAGTTCCGGCTAAATAACTCACCTTGACACTGGACATCATCACAATGGTGCTGTCAGGCCATTGAGGATCTACCTCAAGAATGCGATAGGCTGAGGCGACGTCCATTGGGCCGTTTGCGTGGGTAAGAATGCGATCGCTGTTCCTGTGGCGCCCAATGATCTGTAGCATTTCTCGGGCAGAGTCAGCTTGAGAGGGTGAGTGTTCGATCTTGGTATTGAAGGCAGAAACTACATTATCGTCGCTGGCGGTGTATTTAAGGCTAAAAAATTGGTACGCCTGTGTTTGCAACTCGTCGCCTGCGCCAATGCTATCCGGAGCGGGCATCCCGTCCATGATGGTGAGCTCTTGGATCGCTCGGGTTTGGAAATCGTCGTCGTTTGTAAGGAGAGCGATATCCTTGAGGGCCTCGACAAACGTAGGACGTCGCTTCTCACAAAGGGCCGACTGCCGAGTGTAAGCAAAAAAGATGAGTGCCTTGTCGAAGTCCGGAAGCACTCCAAGAATCCGATGCGCTTCCGTTGCTGTTTGTGCAATCTTGTTCTGGGGGTAGTCAAGACATTGTAGCTCTTTGAAGAGCCTGTTGCCGACATAGGGCCGATTCTCGCCAGTCTTTCCGCCTCTTATTATGACACTCTCCGTCTCGGCCTGCATATCCTCAACAAATGCCCGCAATGCGCTGAGCTCCGTTGGTATGCCGGGGGTGCCAGGTTCGAGAGTGGGCGGGATGAAGTAAGGCTCAAGAACCCCGTCCTTGTCCAGGTTTTCCTCTGTGAACATGATGGCTCTGAAAATGACATAGCATTCTTCGCCAAACACGACCTGGAAGCGCTTATTACGCTGAGATATGTTGCGTGGATTGGGCCTATCCAGCAAGTCTCTGAGATAGGTGTTCAGGGTGACTGGAGCGCTTGTGCACCAATCGTCTCTTGCGTCCGCGAATCGTTCCGGCGACTGCTTCCTGGCTTTTGCCAGATTGTCTAGAATGCGCTGTTCATTGAGAAGGAGGTGTAGCCATTCGCGCTTGAGCCGAGGCCGTGATATTTCGACTGTAACTTGCAGTGTGCAGCGAGGAGCGGAGCAGGCGAAGTGCTCAACAGCGAGTATAGTCTCGCGAATGAGAGGATGATAGTTTGACGTCGACTTGGTCGGTCGAACTGGCTGCTTGATGTTGACGAGATGATGGAGGTAGAAATCTGTGTCTTTTGGAGGGAAGTGGAGAGCATTAGGGCGACACAGACAGACAAGCTGATCTGGGTCCCAACAGGTCCTGATCAAGAAGTGGAAGTCGCAGATCGCGCAGACAGAAGACAGCACGCCAGGGTTGCGAGTATCTGATGTGCTCTGGTTGCCCACCAGGACGAGTCGATGCGGTACTCCTGGTTTGCTGCAGCGCGCCTGTTGGTCCCATTCGATTCTTGCGAAGGATCCGGAATCAAGGTCAGAGTTGAGCAAGTCTTGGATCCATCTTGGGGCAAGGCGTCCTAGAGAAACGTAAGCATTCAATATCAACGGTCGATGGACAAATGCGGGTGAGCCATAGTGTCGCGAAGACCAGGCACGCAATCCGTGCTCATTTGGAATATCCAACGTACCAGTCTTTCCAACCATATTCTCTTTGACCGGCGCAGGGCTGCCTTCCCAGTGCTGGGTAGTCGGTGAATCGCTTGGTGACATGATGGAGTAATGGTCCGTGATGGCCATGCGTTACTGCCTCTTTCGATATGGTATGCTCAATGATGAATCGAAGCTCGCGCTAAACCTTTGACTGGACGCTTCAGTGTGGGTAGACTGGTCGATTAATGCCTCGCATACGACTCCCGAATCGTCATCAGCTTCCCGTTCGGGACCTCGAGTCACAGGTTGGTGGTCGTCTACGAGTATGTAGAGTTTCGATGTAAGTGCTCGGCCCAGCTAGTAGCTCAACGTAGTCAGTAGTGCTTCGGGCGGATCGACGGGCAGCCGTAGTTATTCCTCGTCCCTCTACTGATGTATGACCGTCAAAAACTATCGCAGCCGTCGGCGAGAATATCTATGTCCGTATTGGAGATGCGCAACTCGATGTATGTTCGGCGGAGGATCGCTCGACCGCGAACGGCAGGGTAGGTTTTGTTAGACGCGGGGCACTGAATAACTGTTAGTTCAAGAAAGCGAGACCAAGTTGCATAGAAGAGAGAGAACGAACAGCGAAGGGGCTTCTTTTGTCGAGGCCGGTTGGTTTGGCTTTGTGGCCGAGAGTGTTTGTCGTGCCGGCCTCAAACGGAGGCCACGCCTAAATCGTGCGGTGCGGTATGCATGCGGGGGAGAGTGGCAGAAACAGCGACGTGGAGGAGAACGCAAGCAGAGCTTGGGGTATCTAAATGCATGTGTAAACAGATAAGAAGACTGTAGACCCCAGGAAAAGACGACGACGTGAAAAGTGTCTGGAAAAGAGGATGGTAAACAATTACGCAGCTTCAATGCGTTAAGGACAGGGACGGACGTACGGGCAAGAGCTACCTCATGCGACCTCAAGGTGGGCAGGTAGTGTGGTGTGTGGCGGGGATCGAGACGTAGACAGGCTGACGCAGCTGGTAGCCTCGCACTAAGCCGTCGCAGTTGAAGGAGCTTAGATCACCTGCAAGGTACTTTGCCAGCGAGAGGAAGCTTCCCTGGTGAGGTTTAGGTAGGTATGTAGCCGCTAACCTCGTCACCGCCTGCCGAGTTCTTTCAGGTCAACCCCCGGCTCGGCATGGGGCGATTAAGGCACGGCGCCTGTGGCTAGAATCACATGGAATGCAGGGATATGGCTTCCATGAACCGTCGTCGGGACCAAGATCAGGTGACCTGGCAAGCGGATCCAAGCTCGTTGGAGGAAAGCTGAGTCATCAAGAAAACTGTATCACCTAATTCTTCTTCCCAAGCAACCAAGGTGCCTACTTACCTCGACCGAGAAAAGACTGGTTGAAACAGATGCGAATTGGTCTCAGGTCATCTTAGCCTGGACTTTCATGTAAGATATGAATCGATTGTTTCTAATTCGATACAGAAATTAATTTCAAGTACCTTACTTTATGAGCCAAAGCCAAAGGCGGAAACACACCTCACCGAGGGCATACACAGTTGACCTTTGCACGTGGTCTGATTGGCTCTACACCGAAGTGGCACGTGACTGACCCGGAGGTGGAGCACCTGTCGTGGAGCTTCAACCTGACCTCAAACTTCCGCAACATCCCTCACCAACTTCTTTTCCAATTGAGTGTCTGGCCCGCGACTCCGAACCACCCCGCAACCATGGCCGGCGACCACGATACGTACCACTCCAAGGACGCCATCAAGGCGGCCATCTCCTCCTCTGCCGCCCTCGGTGGTGCCGGCTTCTTCATTGCCGCTGTTCACAATGCCCTCCAGAAGCAGAATGTTGGCGCCATGTCCGTCTTCACCCGCAGCGGCGGCATCATCGCCGTGATGGGTATGTCGCCCAATTACCTTTCGTCACGTCCAATTGAAAGTTTTTAATACTAACGAATGTGCGCAGCGATTGGTGGTGGCGCATACGGCTTCACTAAGTCGGCAATGGCCAACCTGAGAGAAAAGGACGACCCGTGGAACACCGCGACTGCCGGCTTCATTGCCGGTTCAATCCTCGGCATGACAAGTATGGATGCAAACCCCGAGTCTGGAAAGAAGCAATTAAGACAGAATACTTACAAGTCGCGCCTCACACAGCCAGAAGAATGCCCGTTGTGCTCGGCCTGGGTGCTGCCTTCGGCGCATGGCAAGGAGTCTTTGAGGTCACCGGCGGACGCCTCAGAGGATGGAACACGGCCGAAGTTGACGAAGCCGATTTCGAGGGCAAGATTGCTCAGCGCGCGGCCAAGAGACGCCCGATCGAGGAGACGATTGCAGAGCTTGGCGAGGGCCGTGGTATGTTTAACTTTTGGAGTACGGGGCTCGATATCCCACAGAGGGCTGACGCGTTACAGGTATCCGGCCGCCGGGCTACGAGGAGCGGAGACGTGAGCGGCTTAAGGAGAAGTACGGTGTTGAGATCAACCCCGTCAAGGCAACTGTCGAGTAAAACAAAGTCAAACGAAACATCAAAACCATCACCACCACCAATCCACCACCCAGCCCAGCGAGGCATGCTCTTTTATTTCCCGTTGCTTGTACATATACACAGCCTGCGAAACACGTGGGCACATGAAGAGGAGTCTCATCGGCTAGAGGAAATGGAGAATTGTACTATTTTTTTCTCATGCTCTCTGAGCTTCCCCGTGATGTGTGCCTGTCTCCAATGACGCACCGCCGACTGCGTCTCAACAATGGTACGTTCTTGCGTAATGTCGGCATTTGCCAACTTCAATGATGATACATTAGCTTCAGAGGCTGTTTATGAATTATTTTATGATTCGACCAATCACCGTTCTATCATTTATCTGATTATGAGTTTGTTTTTTGGAAACTTTTGCATCTTGCTGTTCTCGACACTCGCTAACAAGAAGTCGATTTCTAGCAGCAACCAACAACACCAAGTGTTTCGTTATCACCGCCGCAACCTCATCTACCAATGGTCAGTTTATTTTGTTTACCCTTTCCCTCCTTATGATGATACAGTAGCTTCAGAGGCTGTTTATGAAATCACTTCATGATTCGACCCATCACCGTTCTATCATTCGTCTGACTTGGCTTTCAATACTCATAATCTCGTGTTACATTATCTGTGACTGAAACTGACATCCAAATCCAGACCTGACGTCAGTGTGCTATGCTGAGCCTCCGATACATACCATTCACATATGTTAGGGTAAGTCTTGGCAAGTTCTTTGTCTCTACCCCATCTCTTTTGATGATACTCAAGCTTCAGAGGCTGTTTATGATCTACATGATTCAACACATCACCGTTCTATCTTTTTGTCTGATTTGCGATTCAAATTTCCGATTTTCTGCGTCTGCCAGCTTTTCACGAATACTGACATAGCTTTCAGGCCAGCATGATCTAACCTTCGGGCCAAGCCCAACTTGATGTTTTCAGAGTAAGTCCAGCCTTTATTTTCATTCACTGCACATTTTCTGTATGATGATACACTAGCTTCAGAGGCTGTTTATGATCTTCATGATTAGACCCATCACCGTTCTATCATTTGTCTGATTACACTTCAATCTTTCCTGTCAACATTGCATACTTGTTGATCTTTCAAATGTACTGACCGCGACGTCTAGGCATTTGGACGCTAGAAAATTGCAGAACTCGTTTGGAACTACAAGAGAAAAGCAGAGAACAGAAGACATGGAAGGACGCTCGGTGTGCCATCAGATCTACGCGAAGACTCTTTCACTTGTCAGATCAAGGGATCAGGGTGCAATCTGCCGCTATAGTGTGGACAGACTTGAGTTGCAGTAAACGCCGTGATGGAACGGCGGACACGCGGGTTCTCGTCCCCCCGACTTTGGTAAGCTTGAATTTTCTCTCGTTACCCCCTTTCTTTAGCATGATGAATCATTAGCTTCAGAGGCTGTTTATGAATTATTTCATGATTCGACCCATCACCGTTCTATCAATTTTCTGATCCTTCTTAAACCACAATGTCTTGGCTTTTCGTATCCGTCGAGGTCCGGCATCGGCTAATCACCCTTCAGACAGGATCTTTCTGGGTCAAAGGGCTTCTGTTCAGTTAATCAAGACGCTTTCACAGTCGCAATGTTGAAGTCTTGGTAAGCACTCTTCTCACAACTCGCATCACCGAATCAAACCCCCACTACATGATGAGACTCAGCTTCAGAGGCTGTTAATGATTACAATCAACATGATTCGAAACATCACCGTTCTATCACTTTCTGACACCCGCTACGACGCCACAACCTTACTCACGTTCAGACATCATTCGTACACAAAAATTGCAGGTGGCTAACTTCGATGCCAGATCTCTTCAGCAGCACGTTCCAACATGTCCTGGACTCATTATGATGAACATCCTTCGTCGTTAATGCTCATATCTAGCAGTTCCACAGTGCTGTGCAGCGCTTTATCCATGGTACGTCGTCCTCTTCTCTGCCCCTTTCATATCTCTCCCCTGTTACTATGATGATATTCAGCTTCAGAGGCTGTTTATGAATGTTATTTGTGATTCAAACTTTTACCGTTCTATCATTTGTCTGATTTGTTCCACGACAACAACTCTATCTTGATACCCTCACGGGATGCGTCGTTCAAGGTGCTAACAATCCCAAGTCTCTAGGTATGCGTTGCACTTTGCGCTGGCACTATTAATCAAGAACGTCGCATAGAGTGATCCGATGTTGTCTTGCTACATGCCTCCCATTGTAGTTCTGCCGTCCTTAATAAAAGCCATTCTTCTTCAGAAGCCAGCATATTGATCGTAATATTGTACACCAGTGACCTAGACCCCCAACGCCTTGCGCAAAGTTATCAAACGAGGGCAGCCATCATTGGGGTTGCCCTCACAAAGTCTTGACAGACTGGAAAAAGGGGTTCGCAAGCAGCTTCTCATCCGCCATGACGAGCCCCTTGAGCTTAGAGACCATCTCCTCCTTGCTCATCTGCCCAGCGGCGACCTCTTCCTTCCACTTGAGCAGCACCTCCTTGAGCAGCGCGCTGCCCTCCTCGATATCGGTCTTGCTGTACTTGAGACCCAGGTCCTCGTGCTTGGACGTAAAGTCCTCCAGCTCGTCAGCCTTGCGCTTCGCCATCCGCACGACCTTGTCGGGGAAGCGGACCAGCTCTGCAACGTGGATACCGAAGCTCTGATCGCACACGCCGTCGTCGACCTTGTACAGCAACGTCACCTCGCGCTTGCTGTTTTCGCCGCCGCCGCCGCCAATGTGCGCGGTGACGTGCAGGTTGTGCACCTGCGGATGGTCGTCCGCCAGGGCCGTCAGCTCGTGGAAATGCGTCGCGAACATGGCGAAGCAGCCAATCTCCTTGACAATGTGTTCGGAAATGGCCCACGCGAGACCGAAGCCGTCGTATGTTGATGTGCCGCGACCAAGCTCGTCAATGATGATGAGCGATTCGGCCGTGGCCGATTTGAGAATGTTGGCCGTCTCGAGCATTTCCGCCATGAAGGTTGACACGCCCTTGAGCTGAGAGTCGCTGGCTCCGACACGCGCCAGGATGGAGTCGAAGATGGTTAGCTCGGCCTCACTGCAGGGAACGAAGCAGCCAATCTGGGCCATGAGGGCGATGACGCCGATCTGGCGGATGTACGTTGACTTTCCGCCCATGTTGGGACCAGTGATTATGAGGAATGAAGACTTGTCGCGAGTCAAAGAGACGTCGTTCGTGATGAACTGGACATCGTCTTGCATTTCCAGACACGGGTGTCGAGCCTCCTTCAGTATTGTCTGGCCTTCACCCCGCTTGTGAATCTTGGGTCGAACGTATTCCGAAGGTGCATGGACCGAGCAGTGTGCGAGGGAAACGATGACGTCCAGGTGTGCCAGGACACCAGCGAGTCTTTCCAAGACTGGGCAGTACGACGCAGCTACGCCGACGACCTCGTTGACCAAACTGCTCTGGGTTCTGTTGTAGTTCTGCGACAGCTGATCGAACTCGCGGCGGAGACTTTGTAGGGTCTTCGTCGTGAAGTATACACCGTTCTTCTGCGTTGAGCATTCCTGGTAGCCCGACTTATTACGGATCGCGCCGGCTTCTTGTCTCGTGAGTCTCATGCAGTAGCCATGGACTTTGTGGTTCTCGAGGAAGATCTTCTTGCCGACTTCCTGCTTCAGGTCGCGAGCGGCATCCGAAAATTGCTGGTCAATATCCCTCTTGAGCTTGTCGAGCTTCTTTCTGATGATCCTCAAGCTGTCGTCGAACTCTGGCTTGATGATGTACTCATGATTGTCGAGCGCATCCAAGTCAACCGTGGTCTCAACCATCTCCGAGAGCTTTGCAAGACTATTGGATAGCTCGCGGAGAGGGGTGGTGTATGCTTCATCGAGGGGGTCTCTGTAGGCTTCGTCCATGACACCCTCCAGGGTTCCCAAGAACCCGGGCAGACGAATGATGACCTGATACGCACGAACAACGTCCTCGAGGTTTGCCTTGCCCCTTTGGAACCGCTTGGCGAGGCGGTATAGATCCGGGACTGAGCGAAGGTGCTCCTCTTGCATAGTCTGCCGCAGCTCAGTATCATTGACGAATGCCTCAACAAGCTGTTGGCGCTTCTCGATTTCCTCTTTGTTCATGAGTGGTTGCTTGAGCCATTGCGACAGCAGTCTGCTGCCGACAGGTGTCTTGCAGTGGTTCAGCAGACCGTACAAACTCATAGACTTGGCACCGTCGCGGGCGCCGGGCATCAAGTTGAGAGCCTTGAGCGCCGCCGCATCCAGCTTCATGAACTGTGAGAGGTCATGCTGGTACAGCTGGTACTGCCCAAAGTTGGACGAATCGTGGAGAACGCCGAGGTACTTGATAAGCGCCGCGGCCGAGCCCATGGCCAACTTGAGGTCGGTTTGTGGGAGGAGAGTGGTGGCGCGTTCGTCCTTCAAAAGACGTGCCAGGTCCTGCTCGATATCCTTGGTACCGAACTCGCTGGCAGACCGCTCCGATACGGCTACGCCGCAGTTGACGATGATCTGCTTGAGCTTCGTCAGGTCGGGATCCTTGTTCTTATCCGCTTTGTCTGTCTGAACAAGACACTCCCTAACACCGAGCTGAATGAGGAGGGCCTCGAAGTTGGAGAAAAGGTCGTTGTCAAGGAACTCGCTGACACCCAACTCTCGCACACTGGCATCGGCGAAGCAGACGCCCACACTCCGGGCCTCCGAGGCTTTTGTTGAGATCTTGACGGCAAGCATCATCGGTGCTGCTTCAATTTGACCACCGAGGTCCTCCTCCACATCCTGCAGGTTGCCAGGCGAAGCTTGCTTGACAACTTTCCAGTTCATGCGACCGCCGGTGCTCTCCCATATCTCGATTCTCTTGCCGAGCTTGAACAGTGCTTCTCGGAGGAATTGTCGAAATACCGTGACGGTCATTGTCACTGAGGCGAGCCCCGTCTTCTCATCTCGGCCGAGTGTCCTTACGACGGACGTTGTCTTGTAGACCTGGGAATT